AATTAGCCAGGCATGGTGGCATGCACCTGTAGTTCCAGTTACTTGGAAGATTGAGGAGGAAGGATTATCTGAGCCCAGCAAGTTAAAAGAGCTTATTTATATGCAAAAGACATGAGACCTGAAGGTAGGTTAACAGCCACAGGGGTTGAAGTAAAAAGCACTGCTCAAATGGGAATCATTCTTCTGCCACCTGGAAAGAACAGGAACTCAGTGAGGTGATGCCCCACTTGTTCAGGTTCAGACCACTTTACTTCTTAAAAAGGAAACCAGGCTGATCCCAGTTGCTCACACTTACAATCAGCACTTTGGGAGTCTGAGGCAGAAGGGTTACTTGAGCCCAGGAACTCGAGACCAGCCTGGGCAATGTAGCAAGACCTCATTTCTGCTAAAAAATAAAAAATAAAAACTCAAAAATTAGCCAGGTATGATGACATGTGCTTGAAGTCCCAACTACTTTGGAGGCTGAAGCAGGAGGATCACTTGAGCCCAAGAGGTTGAGGCTGTGGTGAGCCAGGATCACGCCTGGGTGACAAAATGAGACCCTCACACACACACACACACACACACACACACACGTCCAGAAATGCAGGCCATTTCCAGGTTTTCTCCAGTTCTGGAGGAGACCGATTTGTGGGAGGCAGCTATGGGGATACAAGTCCTGTCAGAATGTTGTGGTTTTACCTTTCATTTCTTCCTCTTTTGCTTCATTGATAGAATAAAGACCAGGGAAGGAAGAAAAAGAGGGAAAAGAATATGTATTTCTTGAGAATCTACACTATGGCAGAAGAAATATGTGAAACCATATTGGCTTCTTTTTTTTTTTTTAGTCAGGGTCTCACTTTGTGGCCCAGGCTGGAGTGCAGTAGCATGATCACAGCTCACTGTAGCCTCAACCTCCTAGGCTCAGGCAATCCTTCCACCTCAGCCTTCCAGGTAGCTGAGACAACAGATGCCTGTCACCATGCTTGGATAATTTACATATATATTTTAGAGACAAGTTCTTGCTATGTTACCCAGGCTGGTTTCAAACTCCTGGACCCCAGTAATCCTCTCATGAGGCCTCCCTAAGTGCTGAGATTCCAGGTATGAGCCGCCAAGCCTGGCCATGTTGTTTTCTGCTCTCAACAAATTTCAGTGGGTCATGACTTTTGGGAAAGACTAGAATAATCTAGAAGGATCCAAATTATTATTTGTCATTTCCCCCTTCAGGACCAAACTAGGTTAAGTTAGTGCAAAGTCAGCCAACTACACTTTGTGGAATGGAATATCCCCAATCCAGCATGTCATCTGGTCACCTCACCCCTGTCTACCAGTTTTTCCTCTTGATGAGAAGCAGAGTGTCCAGTTCCTAGGAGGTAACTCCCTAAGTTAACTGCAGATGTCAACGTGTCATTCCATTTCTACGTGTGGGGATTCTTTTTTCCCCATCACCAAAGAGAGATTTCCGGTTGCTCTGCCCCACAGAGCTGTTTCTTGGATTAAGTCAGTAATAATTATGAGGTATCATGTCTTTGTCCAGAGATACATTCTGTCAAATAAGGCATCTGGATTTGTCCCCTCCTAAAATTAAACTTTGGGCGAAACATGAAACCGGCTTTGAGGTCTCCTCCCTGGCTTTCTTTGGCGGTCAAACCCCATTCTAAGGTTGCCACTCCTCTGCCTTCCTGGAGCAAAACCTCCAGATTCATGACAATCCTGTCTCATCACCAACAGCTTCAAAAACTGGGGGAAACACACAAGAAGAAGGGCAGGCGCATGGAGAAAGGTCAAGAACAAATCCAGGGGGACCGAACCTTGAACTTCAGGTTCCGCATGAAGCCTACGGGGGAATCTGCATTCTCTCCCAGGAGTCGGATGCCCGACACCGGGAGACTGCTGCCATCACTGTGAAAGAGTTGCCACCACATCTTTATATCTTTATTGCACACCCAGGGAATAACTTATCACACATGAACACTACTCCGTGAGGGGATGGTGCCCACTTGCGAAATGCAGGGGGTGAATACAATGTAAATATATTTACAGAGGTCGAGGAGCAAGAGGATGGGAGAAGACCCAGTGTCAGGAAGTTGGAGCGAGAACAGCGCATGGATGCCCCCGGCAAACAGCGCATGGGGCCGGGTGCTGTGGCTCATGCCTATAATCCCAGCATTCTGGGAGGCCGAGGCCAGAGGATTGCTTGAGCCCAGGAGTTTGAGACCAGCCTGAGCCACACAGCAAGACCTTGTCTCTACAGATAATTTTTAAAATTAGCCAGAAGTCATGGTGTGCACCTGTAGTCCCAGCTACTCGGGAGGCTGAGGCAGGAGGATTGTCTGAGCCCAAGAGGTGGAGACTGTGGTGAGCCAGGGTCATGCCTAGGTGATAGAGTGAGACCCTGACTTAAAATAAAAAAATAAAAAAAAAAGCATTTGGGCTTGTCCATGCTCCTGAAGTCTGGAAGAAGAATTCCTGGTAAAGTATGTGAGGAAGATTAGATCTGGGGATTGATGACAAGTTGAGGGACAGTGCAAGAAGACGGGGTGACCTGTGGATTGGTGCTGGAGAGCTGCATAAGCTCTGTTTGAGGTGATGCCACAAAGATGAGTAAGTTTAGGGTGCCCTTTAACCTCTCCTACCCAGGCAAGAAGCAGAGACCGGGTGCCAGGAAGTTGGCTTCCAGTGTAGATTTAGGCTGGGTGGGCTGAGAGGCCTCTGCTGTTCTTGCCCAGTTTGCAGTTCTGCTCTGGGCCCAGCGATCCTCACAACAAAACATGCCTTGAGTCAGGTGAGCAGTAGTTGGACAGATGGCCAGACCTTGAGTCCCACGTAAAACGACAGGCAGAGCTGGAATCTAACCCTGAGCTGCCTGAGACTCCCACTTGAAGGAAATATCCTAAATATGAGACAAAGGAAAAATACCACCACGCCGCGAAGAACTGGAGTCTTATGAGCCCAAGTGAGCCCCAGCATGAAGAAAAGTGGTTGAGGCCAGGAGGGAGGCTGTTTCCGGAACATCTTGTCCAGCTTTCTCAGACTGAAGATGCTGCCCATACCCCCCTGAGCTCCCGGCTGGGCCTGCCGCCTGACTGTGTTCACACCCACTCTTCAGGACAGAGTTAACGGCCCTCTTTTCTTCCTTCATAGCCATTGTAAGGGCTGTGGGCCCGTGGGATGGAGAAATCCTTCTGGGAAGCCCGATTCTGAAAAGCAAGTAGCCGTGTCATTAAGCCCACTTCCTGTTCCCAGCCATCTCCACAGATCTCCAGTTTGAGCAGGACTCCCCTTCCCGTCCTTCCCCTTCTCCAATTTCCTTCTCCTTCTCCCAAGTCCCCCACCCCTGAGTCCCCCTGTGCCCTAACCGTGAGGCAGATTACAGGAAGGAAGACCCATCATCCTTCCACGTGGCCATCTAGGGGCCATCAGATGGTAACATCATTCATTCCCAGAGGATAACTGTCTCCGAGGAGCTCATGGCTCTGAGGAGGAAAAAGAAAGAGATCATTTACCTGCAGCTGGAAATGGGTGGAATAAGGGGCGTAAAGCGCGTCCCCTATCTCTTCAAGACCTGAAACAGGGAGAGGAGAAAGTCAAGCCTTGGGGGTCCCACCTGTGCTCACCCCATCACATTGCTTGCTACCGTGTGACTTCATGTCTGTTTCATCGCCTGTTCTCCACAGACGTTCAGTTTCTGGCAGGGAAAAACTAGGTCCTCAAGCCCAGGACGAGGCACAGAGGGAGCACAACATTGGTTGACTAAATTATTAACTATGATCACTAGGGACATCATTTTTTAAAACTTCACCAGGCCAGGTGCGGTGGCTCGTGCCTGTAATCCCAGCACTTTGGGAGGTCAAGGCGAGAGGATTGCCTAAGCTCACAGGTTTGAGACCAGCCTGGGCAACTTGGTGAGACCTTGTCTCCACAATAAATCAAGAAAAATCAGCCAGATGTGGTGGTGCGCACCTGTAGTTCAAGCTACTTGGAAGGCTGAGGAAAAAGGATTGCCTGAGCCTAGCAGATGGAGGCTGTGGAAGCAGTGAGTGTGCCACTGCACTCCAGCCTGGGCAACAGAGTGAGACTCTGACTAAAAAAAAAACAAAACCAAATTTCATCAGAGCCCCACATCATCTGAGTACCACTTCAGAAGTACATTGGAAAAGCCATTTTTTTAAAAAAATCCTCAGAGTCGGGCTCGGTGGCTCAGCCTGTAATCCTGCGCCTTTGAGAGGCTAAGGTGAGTGGATTGCCTGAGCCCGCAGGTTCGAGACCCGCCTGGGCAGTGAGACCTCATCTCTACAATAAATCAAAAAATCAGCCGGGCGTGGTAGTGCATGCCTGTAATTCCGGCTACTTGGAAGGCTGAGGCGAAAGGATCACTGGAGCCCAGCAGGTCGAGGCTGCGGTGGCCGGGAGCGGCCACTGCACTCCAGTCTGGGCGACAGAGTGAGACTCCAACTCAAAAAAAAAAAAAAAAGTCCTCAGATATAGGTCTAGCCAGAGGTGTACCTCGAGTGAATCTCACTGAAAATTTACTTACTTCCTTAATAGCCAAGAAGGAGAATTTATATATACATACTGGTATTGTTTTCTTTGGGAAGAGGCAGAATTTATGAACAATTGCTTTCTGTGCATTTTGGGAAAATGAAGGAGTTTTTAAATTTTTTTTTTTTTTTTTTTTTTTTTTTTTGAGTTGGAGTCTCACTCTTGTCACCCAGGCTGGAGTACAGTGGCATGCTCACAGCCTCGACCTGCTGGGCTCAGGCAATCCTTCCACCTCAGCCTTCCAAGTAGCTAGAACTACAGGCGCATGCTACCATGCCCACTTAATTTTTTGATTTATTGTAGAGACGAGGTCTTGCCAAGTTGCCCAGGCTGGTCTCAAACCCTGACTTCAGACAATTGCCTTGGCCTCTCAAAGTGCTGGGATTACAGATTTGAGCCACCGTGAGAAGGAGTTTTAAACTTATGTATAGAAGGGTAAACACATGCAATCAATCATCACAAATGCAATTGAAAGTCATTTATTTCCCACCAAATCTCTTGCCCAATCTGCTCAATAAATACTTGAACATCTTCTTTGTGTAAGATATTGTGACGCATACAAGGATTAACCAGAATGATTCCTGCCTCGCAGCAGATGCTGGTGAGTCAGGAATATATCACAGGTATATAAACACCTGTCAAGTGCGACGGACTCCGATAAGAGCATTTCAAAGTTCTGTCAATGCACAGGACAGACGATCACTGGGGAGATAGGAGAATGCTTGACTGTGGAAAAGCGCAGGAAGAAGGAAGAAAGCCATGCCAGCCAGAGGACAAGAGCACCTTGCGCCCAGATGCAGAGGCAGGACTGAGGGTGAAGCTTCAGAGGTCGTTGGTTTCAACCATGGAAAGACTCGCAAAGGATTTGACACAACCTGATGGACTGTGGGGACCCAGGGAGGGACGTGAGCATCAGAGTGTGGGGGCCAAGGAAGCATTTTAGGGGAGTAAGATATAAGTGACTCTTAAAAGAATGGAGGGGGCAGAGCACTATGGCTCATGCCTGTAATCCCAGCATTTTGGGAGGCTGAGGCAGGAGGATCACTTGAGCCTAGGAGTTCGAGATCAGCCTGGGCCACATAGCAAGACATCATCTCCACAAAAAAAAATCATGGTGGTGCATGCCTGTAGTCTCAGCTACTTAGGAGACTGAGGAGGAGGGATTACCTGAGCCCAGGAAGTTGAGGTTGCAGTGAGCTGTGATCATGCCACTGCACTCTAGCCTAGGTGACAGTGAGACCTCAACTCAAAAAAAAAAAAAAAAAGCCAGACGTAGTGGCTCACACCTAGAATCCCAGCATTTTGGGAGACTGAGGTGAGAGGATTGCCTGAGCCCATGGTTTCGAGACAAGCCTGGGTAACTTGATGAGACCTCACCTCTACAGTTAAAAAAAAAATTAGCTGGGTGTGGAGGTACATACCTGTAGTTCCAGCTACTGGAAGGCTGAGGTGAAAGGATCACCTGGGCCCAGCAGGTCAAGGCTGCAGTGGCCATGAGCATGCCACGGCACTCCAGCCTGGAGACAGAGTAAGATCCCAACTCAAAAAAAAAAAAGGGAGTGGAAGGAAGGAAGAGGCATGAGAGATTGATCACAGAGAGTCCAGGAAGGAGATGACAGTGACACCACGGGAGTGGACAAGAGGGGCTGGGTGGGTGAAATACCTCCTCCTGCCCTGCTACCCATCCCTTCAGACTTCCAAGGGTCCAGAAAAGGGATCAAGGTGCAGAGAAGCACCAGGAAGTTTTATACCTATTTTTAGCTGGAGCCTAGAACCTGGCCTTGGAGATCCCTCCTCCTTCCTGTGATCCAAAAATCAATGTAAACCCTGGAGAACAACTAATTAATCCCTATAGACAAGGGCAGTTTCTGACTGAGTTAAGACTTTTTCTGATGAGAAAGACACCAGAATATCTTGCTTCTCATGACTCCGGGCAAGGGCAAAATTATTTGATTATTTTTTAAAATTAGAGACAAGGTCTCGCTGTGTTGCCCAGGCTGGTCTTGAACTCCTGGCTTCAAGTGATTCTCCCACCTTACCTCCCAAAATACTAGGATTACAGGTGTGAGCCAGTGTGCCCAGACTCATTTGATTCTTTTATGTCAAGTATGATCTCTTTCCTCCTGTGGGCTCAAAGACAAGCAATAAAATGTGGCTCTTCGCACTAAACCAGAATCTTCTGTAACTTTATGGAGATCCTGCTGGTCTATGATAAAAAGGTCTTTCTCCGTGCTCTGCACCATGATCGCTGCAGGAAACTACGGATTGAATATAGGCACTCAAAGCTACAAAGTTTCCACACTTCTGTAAGGAATGCCTAGTTATCCTTTACAAAGAACACAATCTCACCTACTTATTGCTAGAAACTTCTCTAGTCATTTCTTTTCCATTTTTTTGCTCCATCCTATTTTAATTCTGAGAAACCTGTGTAGCATTATGCCCTACTGGAAATTAAACTACAGGAAAGGGAAGGTGAGGAAGGCTCTCCCCCATCTATACCATGTGTAGAAAGTACTAAATTAAGACTCTTGGCTGAGCACGGTGGCTCGCACCTGTCATTCCAGCAATTTGGGAGGCTAAGGCAGAAAGATCGTGGGAGCCCAGGAGTTCAAGACCAGGATCTACCACACTATTCCTTTTGATTTGTGTCTGCTACTTGTGTGCGGAATTTTCTTCTTCTTTTTTTTTTTTTTCCGAGACCAGCCTAGGCAACATAGTGAGACCTTGACTCTACAAAAAAATCAAAAAATTAGCTGGGCATTGTGGCACATGCCTATAACCCCAACTACTCAGGAGGCTGAGGCGGGAGAATTGCTTCAGTCCGAGAGGTCGGAGCTGCGATGAACCATGATCATGCCACTGCACTCCAGCCTGGGCAACAGAGTGAGACCCTGACTCAAAAATAAAGAAAGAAAAATAAAGAAACTCCAGGATCCAGCTTCTGGTTCTACTTTTCTCTAACTAGCTAGACAATTTTGAGCAAGATCTGAGCCTTAAGGGGCTTACCTATCCTCTAGGGTCTAATCTGGAAACTCTTTCATGTTCCCTACAGTTATTTTTATTGTTTTTTATTTTTTGAATCGGAGTCTCACTCTATCACCCAAGCTGGAGTACAGTGGCGCGCTCCTGGCCATGGCAGCCTTCCAAGTAGCTGGAACTACAGGCACGCGCTACCATGCCCAGCTAATTTTTTTTAAAGTTTATTTTAGAGATGCGGTCTCGTCAAGTTGCTCAGGCTGGTCTCGAACCTGTGGACTCAAGCAATCCTCTCACCTCGGCCTCCCAAAGTGCTGGGATTATAGGCATGAGCCACTGTGCCTGGCCTCCTTACAGCTATAATAACCTGGAATTGTCCCTGTCTTTCTACCAGGGATTCTCCACCTGACCAGGCAGCCCACCTTGAGTGATTTCCTCTTGCGAGTAGGCTCTGTTCTCTACGCCGTAGCTCTTCTTCATGAGTTGTGGTTTACAGAGAGCATCCTCGACAGGGTAATCCAGAGGGTTCCGCTGCTTTGTGAGCAGCTGAAACTCGGGGGCAACATAAGCCAAGAGGAAAACCCAGCCGTTGGCAACCAAGGCTGAGCTGAGGATGGTGTCATCCCACGTGTTGTCAATGTCAGGAATCAAGAGCAGGGTGATCCATGCCACCCAGATGGCCCCGGAGAGGAGCGTGGTGAGGTAGATGTGAGCCCCGTGTCTCTTCCAGCCGGTGAAGGCCCCACAGAAGGTGAAGGAGGACACGAGGAAGGTCAGCGCCATCAATAAGAGGATGTAGATGAGCAGCAGGACAAAGTCTTCATTGCGACGCACAGCAGGAAGCTCAGAGAAGACGTTGGTGTTGGTCCTGTTCATGGCCAGGATGATGTACTCAATAGCGATGACGTCCTGCACCAGGCTGAAGCCCACGGCCAGGCCTAGAGTCACCAGCAAGGAGAGGGCCTTCTTCCCACGGACCAGCTTCGTCAAGTTGAGAGCATGAGCCAGGAGGCAAGAGAAGCAGATGGAGAAGAGGACCCCGAAGAGGAAGAAGCGGGTGGGCCCCGTGCTCCCATCCAGCCTGATGATGAAGGCAAAGGTGAGGCCAAAGACCCCCAACACACCCAGGAGGAAGAGAAACTGGGTCGGGAGCATCTTCCGTCGGTTGGAGTCCTGCACCCTGCAGACGAGGATGAGGAGAGCCAGCAGGAAGGCCACCGAGGTCACGGCTCCGACGGCGGCCAGGGCTTCTAGGACGATGCCCCACGGCTCGGTCGTATCACAAAGTCTGGAGTACCTGGAGTTCAGGTCTTTTCGGCAGCCTGGAGGGGCTGTGGTAGCCATTCTGGTCCTGCAGAAAATCAAAGGTAGAGGGGAGGAGGGTGGTGAGTCTCTTCACACAGTCCTCAAACACAGAGGACTGCAAAAGGATTAGGGAGAAAGCTGTGTATGTTTCACCAGGGTTTTGCCCTTGACCTCTCGTGAGATAAAGCTGTCAGCTTTCTCCTACCTCTTGTGGCAAATTCTAACAACAGACGAAGGGAGGGAACAAATCTCATATGTCCACTTCCTCCCAACTTAACTATATTAATATTTACCTGGAAACCAGAGGACTTACCGCGCAGAAGGTGTGTCGCAGCCTAATCTCAGGAAACATATCACAGGCCAAGGCACAGGGGCTCTTGCCTGTAATCTTATCCCTTGGGGGCCGAGGCGGGAGGATTGCTTCGGCCCTGGAGTTCAAGATTAGCCTGGGTGACATAGTGAGACTGTGTCTCTATAAAAAATTTTTTAAAAATTAGCCAGGTTTGGTGTCATAGCTATAGTCCCTGCTATTCAAAAGGCTGAGGCAGAAGAATTGACTGAGTCCAGGAAGTTGAGGCTGTGGTGAGCTATGATCATGCCACTACATTCCAGCCTGGGCGACAGAGTGAGACTCTGACTCAAAAACATAAGGAAATGAATAAATTTAAATGAGTAATTAAAAAAAAAAAAACACTATTGCAAATAAAATAGCCTGTCAGAGTTCCTGATAATTTTTAGCTAGCATTTTCTTAGGAATTAGGGAATGTGGAAATATCTAAGCTTGAAGCTAACACTTTCAGTCTCGAGTTTTTTCCACCTCTGGCCCTGTTTCAGATGTCATTTATAAGCACCCCATTCTCTCATAGATAAGTTATCCAGACTGCACGTTTTTCTATAGAAGGACAGACATTCACTTCTCAGCCACTGGAGTCTCCTTTTCTAGTCTGCTGTTTCCTATTAAAAGGGTTTATTCCAAACCGGCTCGGTGGCTCAGCCTGTAATCCCGCACCTTGGGAGGCTGAGGTGAGTGGATTGTCTGAGCCAGCGGGTTTGAGATCCACCTGGGCAACTTGGCGAGACCTCATCTCTACAATAAATCAAAAATCAGCCGGGCGTGGTAGCGCGCGCCTGTAGTCCCAGCTACTTGGAAGGCTGAGGCAGAAGGATCGCCGGAGCCCAGCAGGTCGAGGCTGCGGTGGCTGGAAGCGGCCACTGCACTCCAGTCTGGGTGAGAGTGAAACTCCAACTCAAAAAAAAAAAAAAAAAAAGGGTTTTTTCCTTCTTTGTGATTTGTAAAGATGTCTTTTAGCTCTAAATTAGCCACCTGTAAGGAGGGAAGTCCTGGGTGGCACAAAATCAATAGTAATCCAACAAAAAATTATTACTAATAGCTAACACATTCAATTTTGGAATGGGTCAGATTTTTGCTGCTAATCACCTTACATATATGAATTAGTTTAATTTCTTAGCAACTCTATGAAGTAAAATCAGTATCCCAGAAGAGGAAACGGGCAGGGAGAGGTCAGGTTACTTGGCCAACATCACACAGCTGGGAAATGGCAGAGTCAGGATTTAAACCCAGGTTGTCTGGTTCCAGAATCCATGCTCTTAACTACTCTAAGTGCCTCCTCTCAAATGAGTTCTTTTTTTTTTTTTTTTGAGTTGGAGTCTCACTCTGCCACCCAGACTGGAGTGCAGTGGCCGCTCCCGGCCACCGCAGCCTCGACCTGCTGGGCTCTGGCGATCCTTCCGCCTCAGCCTTCCGAGTAGCCGGAATTACAGGCATGCGCTACCACGCCGGCTGATTTTTTGATTTATTGTAGAGATGAGGTCTCGCTGCCCTGGTGAGTCTCGAAGCCGCGGGCTCAGGCAATCCACTCACCTCAGCCTCTCAAAGGCACGGGATTACAGGCTGAGCCACCAAGCCCGGCTTCTTCCTTTCTTTCTCTCTCTCTGACCCTTCCCTTATCAGATGCCCCAATGTGGCCCGATTTCACTCTCTTAGATCAGCTCCAGGAAGGATAGGAGCCCCCAGGTGATCGATGATCCACAAAGCAGGTAATCTACTCACTCATTTGAGATCATTAGGAATTGACTCAATGTATAACAGCTTGCTTCCTGCCTATCTATCCTTAATTTCTCAGGAGAAGGGCTTCTTTCTCTGCCCCCACAACCTCCATATGAATTTTAGACCCAGTTGTTTGCCCCATGAAATCTAAATCCTAGGGATTCAGGACACAAGTGGGAGGATAAATTGGGAAATCGGAAAAGTGAAAAGAGTTTCCACATTTTCTCAAAATAGATGGCTCACAAATTCCATAGTCAATGTCGGGTAAGATGCTGAAATTCAGCATTGCTAGACACAGTTGCAATCTGTGTCAAAAATGACTGTCTCAAAAATCTATATTTTTTTAAACTTATAGATAAGGTCTCACTCTGTCACCCAGGCTGAAGTGCAATCATACTATTATAGCTTGCTGCAGCCTCAAACTCATGGGCTTAAGTGATCCTTCTAGTAGAGGACTAATTTTTTTTATTTTTTGTAGAGACAGAATCTTGATACTTTGCCCAGGTTGATCTCAAATTCCTAGCCTCAAGCAATCCTCCCATCTCAGCCTTCTAAAGCCAAACTATAAATTTTATCTGAATTGTTTTTCTGCTTATATAAGGAAGGATCTACGACATTATTCCTTTTGATTTGTGTCTGCTATTCGTGTGCAAAATTTTCTTTCTTTCTTTTTTTTTTTTTTTGTTTTTGAGTCAGAATCTCACTCTGTCATCCAGGCTAGAGTACAGTGGCACACTCACAGCCACCTGCTGGGATTCAGGTGATCCTTCCACCTCAGCCTTCCAAGTAGCTGGAACTATAGGCGCACATCACCACATCCGGCTAATTTTTTTATTTATTGTTGAGACGAGGTCTCGCCGAATTGCACAGGCTGTTCTCCAACCTCTGGTCTCAGGCAATCTTCTCGCCTCTGTCTCCCAAAGTGCTGGGATTACAGGCATGCGCCACTATGCCTGGCTGGAATGTTTTTCTTTTTCTTTATTTTTTTCTTTTCCCAGTCGGATTGTGCACTGGATGGTGACAGGTTCTGAGTAGGCTAGAAGAGAACTAGGGTCTGATGGGAAAGGGAGAAGTCAGAGGCAGGGAAGTCTCACGGGGGCCACCTTCACAGAGGAGCCTCCTGCAGTGTCAGACAGGGACAAAGAATGTGCAGCAAGAAATCGGAAACAAGAGGAGGGGCTGGGGGGTCGAAGCAGGAAAAGGTACAAAGCATCAGCTGAATCCTACCTCTTTCCTTAGAGCAGAAAACACAACACGAGTCTCTTCACCACATACACAGACACGCTTATAAACCACTGTGGATCAGCCCAAGGGAAAAAACACCCTTCCCCCTCCAACCTGTCTCCTCAAGGTCAAATCACAAGGCAGAAGCAGCACAGTGGGATGCAAATGAATCCATGCTCACTGACCAAGGCAAATGGACTTTCTCTCAGACCAGCCTGGGTATACCAGAAAAACTTTTTTTTTTTTCCACAGAAGATTAGTTTAGTCCATTCTTGAGCTTCACATAAAGGGCATTGTATGGCATATACCTTTTATTTCTGACTTTTTTTGCTCAGCACATTGCCTGTGAGATTCATCCATGTTGTTATGTGAAAGGATTTCGGCGCCAGTAATGACTCCACACCCAGCCGAGACCAAGAGATTTATTAAAGGGGCTGTTACAGAGAGGGTCTGTAACCGAGAAAAAGCAAGAGAGGGGGAGAGACAGAGAGAGAGTGAGAGGGAGGGAGAGAGTGAGAGAGTGAGAGAGAGAGAGAGAGAGAGAGAGTGAGAGAGTGGTGGGGAGAGAAAGCAAGAGAGAGAGGGAGCGAGAGCAGAAAAACTTTTTGAACATGAGCATTCTCCTCATTGTAGGTAGAATTCAACGTCTCCTCCCTTAAAGACACAAAATCATCTTTTCAATTAGATGAGATAGTCTTCGAACCAAAATCATTTTATTCATATAGCAAGCAGGAAAGAAATACATATATCTTATGCATATATGCAATATATATCCATACGTATATAGATATGAATGTATATGTGGATATATAATATTAAAAGAGTATTTTGTGTGGTATATTTGAGTAAAATATGGCTTAAATCAATCTTCTTGACTTTTTTTTTTTTTTTTTGAGTCAGGGTCTCACTCTGGCTGGAGTGGAGTGACACTATTATGGCTCACCGCAGCCTCAACCTCCTGGGCTCAGATGATCCTTCCACCTTAGCCTCCTGGGTAGCTGGAACTATAGGCGTACACCCAGTTACTTTTTAAATTTTTTTGTAGAGACGAATTCTTACTGTGTTTGGCAGGCTGGTCCCGAATCCCTGGCCTCAAGCAGTCGTCTCACCTCAGCATCCTAAAGTGCTAGGATCACTGGCATAAGTCACAGCACCCAGCTCTTCCTGACTTTCTAGTGAAATTTGGCTCTCCAAGTTTAACTTAATTTTATATGGTTATTCATTCAACAGATATTTACTTAGCATCACTCTGTGCTGATCACTGTTCTAGGTCCTCAGTGGTAAAGGAAAAAAGAGACACATTCCCCACCACAGTAGAGGAGGAAGACAGGCATAATCTGTCCCTGCGGCCACAGGCCTTCCACAACCCTCTCTCACTGTGGGGTCTGTCACCTGCACATTCGGTCCTCCTGGAAACTATACCCCAGCCGTCCCTATCTCAAGCAGAACACAAAGACTGGGTTATGTTCCCCGTCTCCAGGACAGTGGAAAATGAGAAGCAGGAGAAAAAAGAAAGGCAAGTGAGGTTCAGATACAGGCAACGCCAAAACACTAGCACCCTAAGTCGAATCCGTCTTGCCGACAAATGTCTCCTTTGGCGGTGTGGGACAGGGGTGTCTACACCACAAACTTTGGAGAGGAAGGGCCCTGTCCACTCGGGGTGGCAGGGGAAGCAACCAGGCCCAGTGCACTCCATCTCTCCACACCCTCTGAGATTAGTCACCAGGGTGGTGTTTGGCAGGAAAGT